ACACTTCTTTGTTCTCTGTTGTAACAAATACAAAATTAACTTGTTCACAGTTATTAGGTTAGTTTATTAGATTGGTATATGTATGACTGCGTTTGATGTTACTGCCAACTGTTGATAACAAAGTCAATATAAGAGATAAGAGGACCAACAGCATTACAGCACAATATCCCAAACAACATGTTGACTGTATTCAATTTTCTTTTAGATGGTGCACCTCATGCTGTTAATGGAGCTATTGTTTTGTCTCGTAAAAATATATCATCAGCCTCTTATTACTATGGAACTGTTAGAGTGTATGATAATGGATGGGGCAATGTATGCAATGACTACTATTATAATTATGCTGAAGCTAATGTCATTTGTCATCAGTTGGGATACACAGGAGCTTCAAGCTACTCCTGGGCTGGTAGTGTCAGGTATTTTTTTATTTGAGGCTATATAGTCAGTCAGTATTATTTTACACCTACATTTAGTTATGGTACAGACTATCTTTCTATGAAATGGGATGATGTTAACTGTGCCAGTAGCAGCTATTTATCTATTGCTCAATGTTCCTACTCTACTATCATTGACAGTGGTTGTGTTAACAGTAACAGTTATGATGCCACTGTATACTGCTGTAAGTTATTCGGTATATTTGTGCATGTTTTATGTATTATTATAGATACCACTAGGATATGGAATAGTAATCCATATGCTGGTATGGTACGTCTTCAAGATGGAGTTTATTCTAATGAAGGACATGTTGAGGTGTATTGTAATGGACAGTGGGGGACAATATGCAGTGATGGGTTTGACTCAAATAATGCCAACACTATTTGCAAACAACTGGGATATGATGCATCATTCGGTTTTAATAATTTTTCATTGTATGCTTAAATTAAATGAAAGGGGTATTTAATTGATAATTTTAATTTTTTATTTTTGTAGGCATGACAATTCCAGCAATTTAACAGTATGGAGTCGCTCTATTCCTAACTTACCAAATGATGTATGCTTTTCTGTAACTGATACTTGTCCAGTGTCTTTGGCATTAAACTGTAGTAATGCAGTTACAGTCACATGTGGTAAAATTCTATAAAATATTATCAAAACTCTTTTGTACAATACTGGCATTACTAATCTTTATTTTCAATACTTTGTGTATTGTATGATGAGAAATTCCAGTATACTTAAACATAATTATTCTACTAAATTTTGATTAGCCTGTGGGCAAAGCCCACTTATGTGAAGTATTTCTGCATGTATGTGTGTTTGGGGATGTGACTAGAGGGCAGAGCCCCTTAATGTTTTATATTGTTTCTAGTTCTATATGTAGTAAATGTGTCATAGTTGCTTTATGTTACTAGTTGGAGCAAGCCTGAGTGAGCCCCACATAAAAGCTTGTTTGTTTGTACATGTATAATTATGTCATCCCTATTTATCCGTAATACAGTAGATGCTATGCATTAACAATGCTTTATAAATTTAAGTTTTCAATGTCATAAAAAGTAGAAGTTGCCACAAAAAAATAAATTGGTGACCAACACACGGGAAGAAGTGATGAGTTTTCTAGCAGCAAAATAACTTAAAACAAAAATTC